CATCTGATCTTTGCCTCTCTTCCCTTTCCTCGTCACCGAGTTCATCATCATCATCCTCTTCTTCATCGCCGAGATCCATCTCGTCAAAGTCAGGTATGTCCTCTACGACCTTCTCCTTCTTCTTTTGCAACTTAGAAAGCACAACCTTCTTCTTTGGTGATTGAGTAGGCACGGCCTTTCTTCTCCCTCCACGAATCACAGACTTCATAGGAACAGTCTTCCTACACGCCTGCGAGGATGAGCCAACGCCACCATCTATAGTGGATTGCAACATCGGTTTCCTCGAGGCAGTTCCAAAAGAAGTCTTTCTGCGAGGCTTGGTTTTTTGAGATGACGGAGTGATCTCAACATCAGAATCATCAGTTTCATCTACAAGACTGATAAGCTTTCTTTTGCTTCCTTTGTTTCCTGGAACGCAAGCTACATCGTCTTCAGGGAAACGATCAGCGTTTGTTTCTTCAGCAACAAGCTTAGCTATGAGATTTTGAGTTTCCAAATCAACTGTATCTGGTGGGACGTAGTTCGGATCAAACGTGTGATCTTCTGACTCGCCTCTCGATCCCATGCTCTCTCTCTTAGGTTTTGCGGTTCTCTCTTAGGTTTTGCGGTTATGGTGTTTTTTTTTGCGGTTTCTCTAATGCTGTTTTAGTTATTACTTATTAGGGCTTTCTAAATTTTGTTAAAATTCTAATTAAAAAATTGTTTAAATTGTTTTTTAAATATTAGAAATTTTATGCAAGCACACATCCAAGTTAATACCCTAAGCTACCGATAACCTATGATAAGCTACGTTCCACTTTGTGTGATTAAGTTACTCACCTTGAATCTCCATTGATGCTGCTTGTTCACGATCACTCCATCATCTCGGTGCCTAGTAAAGACAGACAATGCAACTCATTAAACAATCAATTCAAACAAATGAACAATCACATAATTATAAATTTAACAAATTTAGAAATTAGATCACAAAACCAATGAGTTGAGTCTTGTCTTAACTTCGCACGAAATTTAGCCCCCCAGCCTCTAATCAATCACCCTTGAGTCCTTAGGATGATTTTTCAAAAGCTGGGAGGTTTAAATTCCGTGACCTAGTAAAGACAAGTAATGCAACACTAAATTCAAGCAAATGAACAATCATATGAGCTGAGTCTTGTCTTAACTTCGCACGGAATTAAGCCGCCAAGCCTCTGATCAATCATCCTTGACTCCTTAGGATGATTTTTCANTTGTCTTAACTTCGCATGGAGTTTACCCGCCAAGCCTCTGATCAATCATCCTTGAGTCCTTAGGATGATTTTTCAAAAGCTTGGAGGGCTAAACTCCATGACCTAGTAAAGACAAGTAATGCAACACTCAATCAAATTCAAATAATTTAACAAATTTAGGTCTGACATATTAATTCAAACAAATTTAAATTTAGCCTAGATCAAACTTGTCTTAAGTTCGCACCGAGTTCAACCGCCCAGCCAGTGAACAATCACCCTTGAGTTCTTAGGATGATTTTTCACAAGCTGGGAGGTCTAAACTCGGTGACCTACTGAAGACAACTTAGACAAGCAATTATGAGCAAACATATTATTAAAATGATTTAATCTATAATATTACTTAATTATATTAAATTATTAAACCTTTATACATTAAATTATAATATTGAATTTTCTCACAGTCAAACAAATTAAAATACTGCCTTTGTAAATTATATTATAATATTTATATTTTTAATATTAAAAACCTTTATACATTAAATCATAATATTGAATTTTCTCACAGTCAAACAAATTAAAATACTGCCTTTGTAAATTATATTATAATATTTAATTTTTTTAATATTAAAAACCTTTATAATTAAATTATAATATTGAATTTTCTCACAGTCAAACAAATTAAAATACTGCCTTTGTAAATTATATTATAATATTTATTTTTTTAATATTAAAAACCTTTATAAATTAAAAAAAAATTATCTTTGATAAAAAATACTTAACTAATTTTTGAAGAACATGCAGGGACTCCTCGCCGGCAACTCCTCTTCAATGTAACTTGAATGGAAGCTCCGATTGAAGTACATGCAGGGACAAAATTAAAATTAGACANTTTTGAAGAACATGCAGGGACTCCTCGCCGGCAACTCCTCTTCAATGTAACTTGAATGGAAGCTCCGATTGAAGTACATGCAGGGACAAAATTAAAATTAGACATCATATAAATCAAACAACATGCAGAAAAATACAGAGAGAAAATTACCTTCAGAGGAGATTGCATGTCGAACTACTCTTGCATGTAGCTGAAAATAAAAAAAATTAGTACTAATAATCAACCGAAAAATAGTAATAATCCACAGCTAAAAAACCTTCAGAGGAGGTCGGATGTCGAACTACTCTTCAACCACTTTTGCATGTACCTGAAACTTGAAGAACAAAGTTAGAGAATATTCAAAAAACAAGAAAGATTAAACACAGAGACATCAAAAAATACCAGATCCGTCGCATGCATGGAGAGAGAACTCAAAACTCGTCAAGATCGATCAAGATCCGTCGCTCAAGCATCCACCGGATGATGGAGGGTCCTCTTCTCCGGTGGTAAGAGTTTCAAGAATCATCTCACAACAAGATTCTTGTCACAGCTTTCGGGAGAAGAAGACCCACCACCGTCCGGCGGAGCCTTTGCGAGTCTCGCCGATCTCGTCTCCTTCTCTCACTGTCACTCTCTCTCTCTCTCTCTCTCTCTCTCTCGCTCTCTCTCTCTCGCTCTCTCTCTCTCTCGCTCTCTCTGTCTTTTTGTTTTTTCAGGTCGGCTGAAATGGAGTGGAGTCAAGGAAGCGGTACTTAGGGCGAACCGCGGTCTTAAATGGGCCGTCCCGCAAAAAGCCCATCCCGCGAATGACCCATCCCGCTAAGCCCGCAATTCTGCGGGATACCAAATCCTAGGCCCAAACCCGCCCCGCCACAGGTTTTAACGGGCCTGTCCCGCGGCCCAAACCCTACTTTGACATCCCTAATTTTATCTAAAAGAAATGTTTAGGCCTCGGGATCCGCACCCCTTACCCCTATACCTGAGCCGGGCCTGACTATACGTTGAGACGTTTCACTTATTCTCTTGAATTGTCAAAGTATACTTTATTTTTTTTCAAAATACACAGATACTAAGTTTTGCTAAATGACGTGGTCGACTCATGAAATTTCCTTTCAATTTTCATATAGTATATTTGTTTTATTAATGATAGCAAAAAATATATGGTTGATAAATATTCTAGAATAGCTGACTCCCAATGGTCATGTCCAAAATATGTTTCATTAAAAAGAAAATGACAGTTGTACCTTCACTCTGTCCATATATTTAAAATATTTTAAAATTGAAAATTTTATTTTTGAAATTTCTTTTTTGTTATTTTTTAAAACCTTTTTTATATGAAAAAAAATTATTAAAACCAAATTAGAAAAATTTCCTGACTGTGTATAATATCTTTCTAAATTTGAGTTTAGGAAAGAATATCTTATTGACTTTGAATTTACGCATTAAAATCTCATCAAATCTTTAAAAATACTGCAAATTTATTGCTTATGACTTCTTTCAAATTTTTTAAAATTCTTAAATTCAATACCACCCCCTTAGAGTTGTTTTTTTTTTCAAAATAAGTATAATATCTTCTTAAGATTTAGGAAGATATTGATATTGGTATTGATATATATGTATAGTATATTTGTAAAATTTTAATAAAAATTTATAAATGTGTACTTAAAATAAATTCTTACATGTGTATTAGAAAGACTTTAAGAATATATATTTATGAATATCTTACTCAGTTTGAATTATATGTATGTTTGCATGAGTAATATAATAGTCTTTTGATGTAAAAAATAACTACATATATTATATTTATGAATATCTTACTCAGTTTGAATTATATGTATGTTTGCCTAAGTAATACAATAGTCTTTTGATGTAAAAAACTACATATATTTTTAATAATAGATTATTAAATTATATAACATCTTTTAAAAATTTTGGCAGAAATTCCTAAATTTGATATCTAAGTCTATAAAGATATTGTACATATTTAAAGCATCTTTGTAAATTTTCAAAGATGTTATATATTGAATAATGTTTTTTTCTAAACATGCATATAAATCAGATTTAGGTAGATGACATACACCCTTATGAAAACTACTTCAATATACATACAAGTTACATTCAAGAAGTGTATGTACAAAATTATTAAGACATTCATGAATTCGAGATATCTTTTTTTCACAAATTCAGGAAGATATTATTTGTGTTTTAAATGTTTTTAGGAAAATTGTTTTCTAGAAATTTGAAATATGCTGAAAAACATTGATTTTTTGTTGATTTCTTATTTTATTTTATTATTTTGATGTATTAATATTTATTTTGTTTTCATTTAACCCTTTAATGAAACATATTTGGTCATTTTGATTTTTGAATGCTATTTAGGGAACATGAACTCAATATGTAAGACAACATTTTGTCATTTAACAAATACGGAAACATTACATATATCGACGTGGCAGATTTTAATACATTGTACCAAGTGAAATTATAATATATATAGTCAAATTTCATACCTTATACTGATGGAATATAAAGATATTGCAATAACCCAAATTGGTAAACATGAAATTTAACCATATAATATAATATTTTAAATTTCATATTACTCTTAGATAACTCTTAATATTAATTGTTGGTATGTAATGTCTTGCTATATATACTTAAAGTTGTCACTAAGGGAAACATCAAATCATATTTTCTTTTCCAAATCATATTTATTTGGTTTTCATTTAACCCTTTAATGAAACATATTTGGTCATTTTTATTTTTAATTGGTATATTCAGGGAACAAGAACTCAAAAAATATATTTAAGACATTTTTTCATTTAACAAATACGAAAATATCACATATATTGAGGTGGCAAATTTTAATACATTGTACCAAGTGAAATTATAATATATACAGTCAAATTTCATACCTTATACTGATGGAATATAAATATATTGCAATAACCCAAATTGGTAAACATGAAATTTAACCATATAATATAATATTTCTGATTTCATATTACTGTTAGATAACTCTTAATATTAATTGTTGGTATGTAATGTTTTGCTATAAATACATAAACTGGTTGCACTAAGGGAAACATCAAATCATATTTTCTTTTCTAAATATCAAAAACATGGCAAACAACATGGAAACAAACATGGAAGAAAACATGGAAAAAAACATGGAAAAAAAAAATAGAGGTCGTCAGAGGATCACAATGGCCAAGATGAAAAATGAGAGTAACCTTCAAGTTACTTTTTCGAAAAGAAGATCCGGTCTTTTCAAAAAAGCTAGTGAGCTTAATACACTTTGTGGTGCAGATATTGCCGTTATTGTGTTCTCACCCGGTGGAAAAGTCTATTCTTTTGGTCATCCAAATGTTGAAATCGTGCTTAACAGATTTAAAAATATTAACCAGCCATTTCCTAACCCAAACAACAACATGCGACTTAGTGAAGTGCGATCGCATACTCCCATTCAACAAATGAACGACTTTCTTACTCAGGTGACTTTTTATCGTATTGTTCAATATTATAATATTTTATATAAATGATAAAAGCACAGATGTTGTATTCAATATTTTTAATATTTATCTACATGTTAGTTTTAACAAATAACTAATATATTATACGGTGAATTATGTGTGTTTCTCTATATATAGAATATATTTGTATACTGGCATATAATACTGTAGAAATTGATTTCATAATTTATATATTTGTTGGTATTGTGTTATTTAAATGTTCTTAACATAGGTATATATGTTTGTTTTTTTTGGAGGAATTGATTTAAGAGGATACAAAATTTGATCTTTTACACATATATTTGAAAATAAGTCAATTTTATATTTGCAGCTGATGAATGATTTGGAAAAAGCAAAAAAGAAAAATGAAGAAATAAAGAAAAAAAGAAAAAATTCTAAAAGGTCTGAGAATTGGTGGGAAGATCCCGTTGAAGAACTTGACTTGGCTCATGCCCAAGAATTTAAAGTTGAACTGGAAAACTTGAAAAAAGTTGTTACAGATGAGGCTTCCAAATTTTTTCAAGGTTTTCCCCACCCAAACTTCTGTGTTGGAAGTTCCAGTGGTGCTCCTTTTAGGGATGGTGGATATATCAACCCTAATTTGGACCAGTCTGAACAAAGAAGAATGTTCAACGTGAATGCATACTACAACCCGAACATGTATCGTCCCAATTATCAGCTACTGTATGGAAACAATAGTTATGCTGGAGGATGTGTTCCAGATCAATACAACTTAAATTTCATGCTTGCGTTTAATCAGTACCAGAACCAGAATCAAAACCTAAATCCGGGGTTTAAAGAAGAAGGCATCTCCGAAAATGAACGTCATCAAGATGGCCATTCTCCTCATTTCTGATCTGATTGTGACTGATCATTTCTATATCCAATGGAGTTTCGAGATAAAAAAAAAAATGTTTGATGTTATCCTCATTTTTTCTTAGTATGTTGTATTTCTTTTCTTTCATAGTTTGTTGTATTTTCAGAATTGGTTTGTTATTGGTGTCGTCGAGACTTTCATTGCTTTAAAAATCAAACTTTCTTTTACTTAATAATGTTTTTTTTTTGCTTTTCCAGTTCCATGAATGTGGATTCAGGTTATAACATTCCTGACAGAAACCAAACTGGAGAGGATATAAACAATGCAGTTATTGTTCTAAGTAATCACTCCTGGACCTGTATACAGTGGTTCTCGAACCGATGGTGGGGTAAATTTTCCATTGAACCCTTCTGATATCATTAACTCATATAATGAGGACTCGCACACCATGGCTGAGGGAAGTTCACGGTTGGGTGTTTTCAATGATGATGATGATTTTGTTACGCCCCTTTGGTCATTTCCTTCTGAAACTCCTGAAGCCCCTGGGTTTCCTCTAGTTGCATCTGATGCTGATGTTGTTGTTTTTAAATTTTTAATAGTATTTCTTACGTTTATAGAATTGTTAGTGGTTAATTTTAACTTTTTATGTTTCATTATGTATGATTTTCGTTCATACAAGGCTTTGGTTTGTCAATAATCATGATATGTTTAGTATTGACACATTAGTTTAATGACAAATCTTATATGGTTGATAGACAAGTTTCACAATATTATTTTGAAGGAGAACAATATGGTTTATAGAAGCTAAATACAAAAATTTAATAAAACTATTGTAAATATAATGAGTTTAATTGAGTATAAATTAGTATTTTTAGAACCGATAACCCGGTTAGTATCTAAAACCGAAACTATTTCGGGTTCAACCAGATCTTCGACATTTTACTAAACTCGAACCAAACCCGACTAAACCCAAACCGAATCCAACCGGAATTTTTATCATATCCGAATAGGGCTGAAATTCATGAACCCGAAAACCCAAACCCCGAATGAACCCGAATCAAAACCCGATTGGGACCCCGATTGAACAGCCCTAATAAATGCTTATGTGAGACTTTTAACAGTTTTAGTAATTTATACTCGTTTTGAAAATTTCGAAATACAGCATACACAAAAAAATCTATATTTTTATTAATGATTAATGTAATTACGTAATTTATTTTATAATAAAGAAATAAAATATGATAAAAAGTATACAGATTATATCAATTTTTTATTGTTTAAAATCATTAATTGCCATATATATGTTTTAATCACATCAGATAATTCCGTAAGTTTTATTTAAAGAAAACTTGTGGAACAATAAATATTTGATATGTGCGACCAACTATAATCTACGAAATATTATATTGCTAAAGAGTATAATTTGTAAACTATAGTTTATATTGTGTTCTAGAATCCTTCTAAATTGAATTAGAAGGCATAAAGAGCTGCCACGTAGGATGATGTTATTTTTTTAATTAATACAAACTTAAGGTTATATCTTTTTAAATGTTTCTCAATTAATGTACAGAAGATTCTTGCAAAAGAGTTTATAAACTCTATAAGACCATATGAAAGATGTATAAAGTATATACATACAACCACAAGTATGGTTTATATAATTTTATAACATTTTATAAAACGAAAATGTATCTATTAATCGAACCTCTGATTGGGAAGATATTTAGTTTTTGGGTAAAGAGGTAAAATCTTTTTTTTTGTTATTAAAAAAAGACTTGAGAGGGCAATTTAACTAACTACACTAAAATGTTGTTTTGACCATGCACGTGAGTTATGTGCGAACGATTCTTCTTTCCTTAAATCAATGTACGCCACCATAAGGCCAACCAAACATCTTATGACTTATTAGCTTATAACCTTGGCGTTTTTCCCTGTTGCTCATACTATATGGAGGGCCGGCTCAAGTTTATCATGGATCCATCAGCAAAAAATTTTAAATTTTTTTTTAATATATATTTTTATGGACAATATAAAAATTTTGGACCCTCACCTTATTTTTTAAAACAGCTCAGCCTTCTTTTACCATAATTTATCTAAAAAAAATCTATAAGCTTCACAGCCCAAACCCCCTTGCCCCTATATCTAAGTCGGTCTTGACTCAGGGCCGGGCCTGACTTATTGGGGTCCATTCCAAATTTTTTAGAATTTTGTTTTTATAGTTATAAAACTATATATGAAGAATTTTTTTAAAAAAATTAAAAATAAAAATCGTATGTACAGAATAATATATAGATAACTACTTTTAAAATAATATATATTAATATATATTAACGTTTTTATGTATTTTATATATAGATTAATATATAGAAATAATTGTTTTTTTTAATTAGAGGCCCTTTTAAGGTTGGGGCCTCATTCAAATGTTTCTTATGTATGGGTTCAGGTCCGACCATGTACTGACTATACGTTGAGACGTTTCACTTATTTTCTCGAATCGTCAAAGTATAGTTTAATTTTTTTCAAAATACACGATATTAAGTTTTACGAAATGACGTGGCAGACTCAGGAAATTTCCTTCCATTTTCGTATAGTATATTAGTTTTATTAGTGATAGAAAAAATATATGGTAGATAAACATTTTAGAATAGCTGCAAAAGAAACAATTATCATAAAAGGGCTCCCATTGGTCATGTGACATGTCCAAGATATGTTTCATTAAAATGAAAATGACAGTTATACCTTTACTTTGTCGATACATATAATATATTTTAAAATGGAAACTTTTATTTTTGAATTTCTTTTTCGAATTTATTTTTGAAAACGGGTTTTTATAAATTCCTTTTCTTTAAAAAAAGTTAGAAAAAATTTCATGAATGTGTATAATATCTTTCTAAATTGGAGTTTAGGAAATAATCTTATTGACTTTGAATTTAGAATTTTTTTTGCTAAATAAGTATAATATGTTAGAATTGACTTTGAATTTAGCATCTTTGTACATTTTCAAATATGTTATACATTGAATAATATTTTTTTCTAAACATGCATATAAATCAGATTTAGGTAGATGGCATACACACTTATAAAAAACTATTTAAATAACTTACAAGTTACATTCAGGAAGTCTATTTACACAATTATTAAGTCATTCCTGAATTTGAGATTTCTTTTTTATTTTTACAAATTCAAGAAGATATTATATGTGTTTTAAAACGTTTTTAGGAAAATTATTATCTAGAAAATTGAAAGATTCTGAAAACATTGATTTTCTTTTGAAAAAGAAAATTTTATTTTATTTTATTATTTTGATGTATTAATATTTATTTGGTTTTCATTTAACCCTTTAATCTAACATATTTGGTCATTTTGATTTTTGAATGCTATTTAGGGAACCGAAACTCAAAAAATATATTTAAAACATTTTTTCATTTAATAAATACGGAAACATCACATATATATTGAGGTGGCAGATTTTAATACATTGTACCAAGGGAAATTATAATATATATATATATATATATAAATATAGTCAAATCTCATACCTTATACTGATGGAATATAAAGATATTGCAATAACCCAAATTGGTAAACATGAAACATATTTGGTCATTTTGATTTTTGGATGCTATTTAGGGAACATGAACTCAAAAAAAAAGAATTTAAGACATTTTGTCATTTAACAAATACAGAAACATCACATATATTGAGGTGGCAGATTTTAATACATTGTACCAAGTGAAATTATAATATATATAGTCAAATTTCATACCTTATATTGATGGAATATAAAGATATTGCAATAATCCAAATTGGTAAACATGAAATTTAACCATATAATATAATATTTTAGATTTCATATTACTGTTAGATAACTCTTAATATTAATTGTTGGTATGTAATGTTTTACTATAAATACATAAGGTTGCACTAAGGGAAACATCAAATCATATTTTATTTTCCAAATATCAAAAACATGGCAAACAACATGGAAGAAAACATGGAAAGAAACATGAAAAAAAGAAGTAGGGGTCGTCAGAGAATCACAATGGCCAAGATGGAAAATGAGAGTAACCTTCAAGTTACTTTCTCGAAAAGAAGATCCGGTCTTTTCAAAAAAGCTAGTGAGCTTAATATACTTTGTGGTGCAGATATTGCCGTTATTGTGTTCTCACCCGGTGAAAAAGTCTATTCTTTTGGTCATCCAAATGTTGAAATCATGGTTAACCGATTTAAAAATATTAACCAGCCATTCCTAACCCAAACAACAACATGCGACTTAGTGAAGTGCAGCCGCATACTCCCATTCAACAAATGAACGACTTTCTTACTCAGGTGACTTTTTATTGTGATGTTCAATATTATAATCTTTTATATAAATCATAAAAGCCCTGACATTGAAGTCAATATTTTTAATATTTATCTACATGTTAGTTTTAACAAATAACTAATATATTATACGGTGAATTATGTGTGTTTTTCTGTATATAAAATATATTTGTATACTGGCATGTAATACTGTAGAAATTGATGTCATAATTTATATATTTCTTGGCATTGTGTTATTTAAATGCTCATAACATAGTTATATATTTTTTTTTTTGGAGGAATTGATTTAAGATGATACCAAATTTGATCTGTTACACATTTATTTGAAAATAAGTTAATTTTATATTTGCAGATGATGAATGATTTCGAAACAGAAAAAAAGAAAAATGAAGAACCAAAGAAAAAGAGAAAAAATTCTAAGAAGCCTGAGAATTGGTGGGAAGATCCCGTTAAAGAACTTGACTTGGCTCATAGCCAAGAATTTAAAGTTTTACTGGAAAACTTGAACAAAGTTGTTAGAGATGAGGGTTCCAAAAAAAATCACATTTTTCCCCATCCAGACGTCTGTGTCGGAAGTTCCAGTGGTGCTCTTGTTAGGGATGGTGGCTATATCAACCCTAATTTAGACCAGTCTGACCAAAGAAGAATGTTTAACATGAATGCATTCTACAACCAGAACGTGTATCTTCCCAGTTATCAGTTACCAGATGGAAACAATAGTTATGCTGGAGGATATGTTCCAGATCATCAATACAACTTAAATTACATGCATGCGTTTAATCAGTACCAGAACCAAAATCTGGGTTCTATAGAAGAAGGCATCGCCGAAAATGAACGTCATCAAGATGGCCATCCTCCTCGTTTCTGATATGATTGTGACTGATCATTTCTATAAGATCCAATGGAGTCTCGAGATTTTTTTTTTTTTTAAAAAGATGTTAGATGTTATCCTTATTTCTTTTTAGTATGTTGTACTTCTTTTCTTTCATAGTTTGTTGTATATTTCAGAATTGGTTTGCTATTGGTGTCGTCAAGACTTTCATTGCTTTGAATTTCAAACTTTCTTTTACTTAATAATTAAATTTTAATCTGCGCGTCCGCGCGGATATATTTTTGTTTTTATAATTATATTTAAATTTTATGACAATCAGATAAAATATATTGTTAGAATTTTGTATTTTATATTATGTAACTTAATATCTTTTTGTTTGATAATATTAATATATAATTATTTATAATTTCTTCATAATTTTATGAAACAATATATATTAATATATCATTTATTTTTATATTAATATTTTTATTTAAATTTAAAATAAATACATCTATATAAGAATCAAAATATAGTAATTTATCTTTTTAACCGATTTCATTAAGGTTTTTATGTTTTCTAATGAATATGGCTAAGATTTTGTTTATATATTTCTCCTAGATCAAAATTTATTTTAATGATTTTTTAATTTTAAATAATCTAAACTTCTTTTATTTAATTTAAAACATAAAACATCAACCGTTCACTAAAAATCATATAATAAACAATATAATTGTATACTTTTATAATTTATTTTTATTAAACTTAAATTTTATTTTTCTAATTTTTTATATTTTAACTTTATAAATTAAAATAATATATTATAAAATATTAAATTTTATTTAAAAAATAAATAATATTTATTTCTAATGTTTAATATTAATTACGAATTTACTGAATTATTTAAAATTAATAAGCAAGATTTTCTAAGATTTTGTTAAGGTAAAATAGAAAATATTCAAAAATATAAATGATAGAGTAGAATATTCTTATGAGTGATAGTATATTTTATTCAAATGATTTAATATATAAATATTATCTTAATGTATTAAAATTATTAATGAAATGGTCCAATGAGTTTTTATCAGTAGATAAAAATAGAACTCTGTATTAAAAGATTGGATGTTTTTTTTTGCTTTTCCCATCACCGCTAAAATCTTTATATAAATATATCAATTATATTATAAAAATATTAATTTTTAGTAGTTGTTATTTAAGATCCATATTGCCTACCATTTTTCAAAATTTTATTTTTAATATCTAAAAACAAAAGAGTTTTTTTAATTCATTAAGTTATATTAAAAATGATAAATTTATAATTTAAATTAGTGAAACTTAACATATTTTATTTTTAATAATAATTTTTCAGGTATAGAATAATAATAATTATTGTCTCCATAACTTATAACATCAAGTAACAGTTTTTAAAGTTATAATCTTAACGATCTCATTATCAGTCGACGTTTAAAATACTTACATAGAAAACACATTATGTCTTATGTTTGCACTTGAGGACGCATTGTTTACTTGATACACTTTGTTTGGACAGCTTTTTTTGGACAGAGATAACCTTTCCCTTTGATACCAACTATAAATGATTTTGCCATACATTTTCTTTTGTATCCAACAAAATGTATAATACTACACCATTTTATTAGTTTCATAACTTATATTGATAGAATATAAAGACTATAAAATTTCTGAAATAATAATTATTAAATAAACTATAATATAATAGATGAAATTAAATTTACATAGAATTTTAAATGTTTATGAGTGATTCATCACAATAGCACAACATATATTTTCTTTATAGATGGCAATCTATTTCTTTTATTTTTAAAAAAATGATGAAAAAAATCTATAGAACATACATGTTTTGTTTTCTGCTACGTGATGATTTTTATAGGAAAAAATAATTTAACGGTTGAGTTTATCATAATTTTGTAGTCTAACGGACAATTTGTTTTTTTATATAAAATCGGATATCATCAAACTATTCTAGCAAAATACATATTATTTTTCGACGTATTTTTACACACCTATTTTAGTTTACACATCTTTTACGCCTTTTTAATTTATGAACAACACATCCTCTTAATTCCTTATGTACAGCATCATCATTGTCAAATAGTAAAATTTCTGGATATTACCTTCATAAACACACAATTATAAATATGTTGGCAATCATTTAAAAACTAAAAATATATATAATGAAACATATTTAGAAGAAAATATAACTCTAACAAAATTTATAGGATGATAAGACACATCCATAAGAAATTTTAAAACTTTTTTTTTTTAAAACAGTGCATTAATAAGGATGAAGAAAACACATTGTGATGAAAAAGACATTCTAAGACATGAAAACCAAAACAAACTTCAGATGATAAAACACTTTCTTAATCATTTTCTCACCCTCATATTGGTTAAGATGAAAAGCCATTTTTTCGTTGGGGATTTCCTGGAAAAAGCCGTCGCATCTTTTTACGATTCCTTATAAAAGATATTCAGTCCATCAGAATCGAAGTTAAAGAGGGTGTTTATGCCCGTCGTCTGGCTTATGTTCTTCATGTAGCATTCAGACTTCTTATAACTTTTTTTTTTACTTCTTAAAAATTGTTGTCTACTTTTAACTCAATCCAATTTTTATGAAAGAATAAATTTTCTCGAATTATTTGCGTAGTAATAGTTTCAGTTTACTCGCCGGTGTCATCTTGTGGAGCGGTGTATATGGACCTGAAGATAAAATCAAGATTATTTTGATTTTTCTTGTAGATGAAGATTGGCTCTCAGTGTCACGACTTTTATGTGATTCCATATTTGTCTGGTTTTGTCGCAAAAGCTATACTAGACGTAGTCAGATATCTCTAGTTCTTTTGAAAAATTATCTTCCATCTTTTTCTAAAAAAAATGTATTATCTTATTTCTTTTGCTACTAATACCATTGTTTCATTTTATATACCGTTTAAGATTTTTACACATTTATTAAAATTTATTAACTTTTTTTTTATTGTACATCTAGTTAGTACACTGTTTTATTTAGTTTTGTCAGTAAACAAACTGAAAAAAAATAAAGATAAAAATGGAAGACTATGGAACATATACATTCAAAATATAAAATGATACTTAATATGAAATAAACAGAGTCTACAATGACATTTAAAATGAAAATGGACGGAGAATTATTTATGTTTATATTGAAAAGAATGTCTAATTTCCTCTTTCTATTGTATTTGTAAAGATTTGAGTTTAATGAAAGTGTGCTCCAATAAAAATTCCATCAAAATCCACAAAAAAATGCCATTATGTTGTAAAGAAAGAGAGATGAGGGGAATGATTTATGTATATTATTACTGAATGAATAAGGTTCCTTTATATAAGGATTACAAGAAGAAGATAAATGGAAAACATCCAATTCCTAAAACAACAAGGAATTGGAAATACATAAGAATGGAAACTACATATGGCCGCCTATGTCTAAGTCATTGGGCCTCTATCTTCTTGGTCTTGAGTAACCTAGGCACGTGGACCTTAAGGTCTATGGTTATGGCCCATCCACACAATACTTTATAACACTCCCCCTTGGATGGCCAAACCATATGGGCCTGTACCATGCTTAATGTTGCCTCGTTAAAACCTTCTCTAGGAAAACCAAAAACCCGAGGTGGGAAAAATGGAAACCTCAGACAAGAAAAAAGAGTACAACATATGATACTCCCCCTGATGAATGCATCACCGAAATGTCTGATGCATTCCAATCTGGTCGGTAGAAAACTGGTATGCACGGTTGCTGCTGAACCGAACTCGAACTTCTGATATCTTCTGGAAAAACTCATGTGTGAGTACTACTTTGGGCTGGACGTCTTCTATGTCTTCTAGAACTTCATTAGAACTTGGTCCAGTCGTGCATCATCACAACTGACCACTCTAATGTCCTGGTCGGACAGATCTCCTGGTCGGACGGATGTCCTGGTCAGATGGTACTTGACTAGTACCCGGATGGACCTTTGATCAACAATCAAGTATTACTCATAGGTCCTCTTATGTCCCATGGTTCTTGTAGTCATATGGCCCTTGACATACCGTGGACACCTTAATATATATATTGAGTCATCTTGCAATGCTCAAGAATCTCATGTCTTAAAACATGTATATGCATGGACGAGATGTAAACCTTTACTCTATACTTTGTCGGATAGGTTTCATCATACTTTGAACCTTAGGGTACGGTGCCATGAACCCTTAGTTATACACGTCCATAATGTGTCCCATAAGTGTCTAAGATCATGACTTGATCAATGATCATTCCTGCAATAAGTTTCACAATCTCATCAAACTATGGTTCTACAACTAAGTACACTTATGGACCTTATTCATGGCTACCAATCTTTCTTGTCTTAATGCCACACATTAGACCACGTCCAATGCCTTTCCAAACATATCTATTCCAGTCTTATGGCGTCCCATGACCTTTCTTATCTAGGCTTAACCAAGTACTAGAAACTTCATCCGGTCATGGACCTTGTCCAACACACGCACACAACTTGCCAAGTATGCCTAAGATATTGTTGTTGTTGGCGTGCTGCTATCATGACTTAAGTATCACTGTTGGTTCCTTAGGACTTCTCTAACCATCAGTATACCTTTGCCGTAGACCATCTAGATGTACTAGGTCATAGACCTCGACCAAACACAAACTGATTGGTACTTCCTTCTACGGTCATATATATGTGCGCAGTCCCACTTGCTTTGTTTTGTATGGACATTAATCACACGTGCCTATGGACTGCTACATGATAGCTGATCGTACTGAGATCAAGGGAATACAAGGATTTATCATGTGACCATCTCATATGTCACTTGGGGCGTGCTGGTCTATACACATACACCCACGGCTATGGTTTCTGCTGCCAAGTCATTGTAGCCATAGCCTGTCTAAGAATTATTAAAAACCATTGAACCACTCCATGGGTTGGTTTAATATAAACACAAGGAATCCATACATCTTTCACATGATCACATGGACTGATATAAATTCGTTCTTATGGAACTCT